GAACCCGATGATTCTTTAGATTCTAACTCGGAATCCTCTGATGATGATGGGTTCTGTGGATTTTCTGACGATGATGAAGGTTATTATTATGATTTAAACACCGGTGAGACCTATACAAAATCGGAATATCGTTATTCAATCCGCGCATATTAATTAATGGGTCATGACTCCACATCCCCGATTGGATAGAACCTCATTTATGGAATAAAGATGTAAGGTTTTATATTAACCGACATTCGTGAAACCAAATTTTCGGTTATTAAGACATTTTTTCGCCTATCGCCTTCGGACGTAATGCTAATTCTTCATTTAAGATCGCCCAGTCCGAGATAGCAGAAGGTATGATGAGGGTGCGATGTAGACACGATAGATTTTTTTCCTATATAATTGTATGAAAAACAGGTGTACCTTAGTTGGGTTGCGTTATATCGGAAAGCATAAAATGGTGTCCACGTGATTGTGGAATTCCGAGATTGGCGCATTCTCGAAGTTTAAAAGCATGAGACTGATAAGTCAGATCTGTGCGACATTCGATTTCCCAAATTTTTTTTCTATCCGTGGCGTGCTACTCTTTTTAACCATGTCTAACGTCTATGAAACAATCAAAATACTTGATTCAAAAGAGGAAAGAACTACACTACGAACCCTCTTCACTATTAATCCAGAAAAAAGAGCTGAAGCGGAACGCATCCTTCCTACATGTGAAGATAATGGAGAGATAGTTGCTTATTTCAAAGAACTCTTAAAGCCTGGTATGTTCTCTTTTAATCGTGTCATATTCACCAATAATACCGAATACTTACTTGTGCTTTTCTTTCCTGCTTCTTATCGTTAAACCCGTCCAAAAAACACATTCGCGTTATCGTAGAGGGTAAGTGAGTCGTAATAAATTTAGTCGATGGAATGAACGCGTCTTGGCTTGATTTTCGATGGCCGTTGTTTCGTTCTCGTCTTTCAAGCCTGCATTATTTTTCTCGTTATTATCCCTTTCCTTATTATTATTGCTTTTGCATTCCTATTAATCCAGGTAGACCCGCTAAGAAACAAAAATTAGGAAGTAAGTTTTCATCAAAGGGATTAGAATGAGCGGATTGTTGAAATTTTATGTGGACTAGGATAATCTACTAATGGCTTCTTTAATTCACTCTTTCAGATCCATTGTTTACAAATTTATTAGATGTGGTCCTTAATCTCAGGAAAACACTCCCGGAAAGTTTACGAGATGACATCGAAACAATGTCAGAGGAACAGGAAATAGAGCAGGAAGAGTTAACTTCAAATCTAATCCAACATCCTGACAGAAAACCTCTTGCAGTAATTAAGGAACATGTGCTATATGTACGGAAATCTTACGAGGATCTATATCACATAGTTACCAATGAGAATTGCAATCCCAAGTTCCTCATATCTGGCACGTCGGGTGTCGGTAAATCGTGTTTCTTGATTTATTTATTAATCCGGCTTTTGTGCAACAGAACCGATGCCACGGTCATTTTTAAGGCTCTTGATGATAATCTTTTATACTGTTTTGAGGATTCTAATCTCTTTGTTGGAGATTTTGAAGAATTTTCGGAGCGACTATATAACCCTAAAACATGGTACTTGGTGGATGGTACAGTTCCCAGGGATGTCTTAGCAAGAACAGTTGTTTGTGCATCATCAAAAAGTATAAAAGACAGAGGATTTCAAGAGTTCCTCAAGAAATTTGTAAATAAATTTTGCATGCCACCATGGTCAATAGAAGAGTTGGAAGCCTGCCGATTAGGTGTCTATCCGGAGTTGCCACAAGATTTAATGCTTGAACTTAGTGACGAAGCAGGTGGTGTGCCAAGATACGTTCTTGATATGCCAGCATCTATTATTCGTCAGGAAAATCCCAATGTCAAGGACCAACAAACCATTCTTAGTAATCGGAATGAGATTAAGAAAATGTCTTTAGAACGTGTTGAACAAGCTCTTTCTGAAATTAGCGATTTTAGAAAGCTTATACAGTGCTTCTCTGAAAATTCCCAATATGTCGAATTCAGCAGTCGTCTTGTTCACCGGTGGCCTGACACTTTCTACCGAGAACAATCTCTCTCATGGGCCTCTGGTCGTATTTTTGACAAAATCCAAAAAAAACTAGAGGATAGTAGATGGAACAATCTATTTCTAAAAATTCAAGATCCTGATGACCCTTCTAGCTCCAGGGGGATTATGTTTGAATCACACGTACTTCACCTCTTTAAGCTTGGTGGTCAAACTTTTGAATCGAGAAGACTTAAAGAAAATAAGGTAAAATATTGTATAATAATTTTCGATAATTGATAAAATATTAATGACCTTTTTCATTACTAGAATGATAAAGTCATCTACACTGAAATTACTTTAGCAATAAAACCAACCACAGAGTATATCCGATACGCAAACCAGCTCATAGGGTGTAACAAAGACAACATATTTATCAAACCAACCATAAAAAATTTCAGTGCGGTAGATCTAATTCTTACGCCGGACTGTATCTTTCAAATTACTGTGTCTCCAAAACACCCCGTAAAGCAAAGTGAACTGATTAAGATAGTTCAAAATATGCCGGCATATAGGAAGAATCAGAATGCAAAAATTTTTTTATATTTTATTGTGCCGGATGATATATATGATACCTTCGGATACCAAAGTTACTTAACACCCAAGAAAAAAATTGGAAACGATCTTGAGGCCTTTCAAGCAGTTAAACGTAAGTCCCCTATCCTCAATAATGTAGAACAATGGATCGTAAAAATTAAGATGGCACCTGAAATGACTATAACATCTGTGCTGAACAACGCGATGGCAATGGCAAATTCCTGTTTATAAAATTCCGCAACGTCAATTACTTATTGGGTACTTGGGTTCTAAATCGTTTTATCTTTTATATTAATTAAGGTTATTTCTAATTCATGTTTGCTACATTAAGAATCTCAGAGGGACGTTCAGTAGTTAAAATAGAGTATATAGTTTTATATATTACGGACATGTTATTCGCTAATTTACTTAAGAAATAACGATTGTATGGAAATTATTTCACTAAAGATAAAGATTTCGTTGCTATAAGTCCTGGGGTAAACTTCACACGATATTTTGGCTATATCTCATGTGATCTTTGTATATATGAAAACAGAAAGTCTATGATCTTTTTTTTTCGTATTGGTGGAGACAAAATTCAAAGGATGACATACAGTATATCCAACGAATAAAAACGTTTACTGCACCATCGATTTCAAATTTAAGTTCGGAAAATATTAAATATGTAGCATTACAGATTAGGAAAAATACTAGGCAAACTTAGGCCTTTAAGCCCTGCTCCGCAGAATTCCGGATAAAAATGTTGTGCCACGTGATGATGATATAACTCGACCGTGACTGAGTAGACATGGTCTCGAAGTTTGGCACTTTTTTGATAATTAAATAAAGTCTACCCATATTTGGGATTTGTATTTTTTAGCCTTAGTCTATGTTCGGTAATGAATGCGTATAACATATCTTTCACAGAAAGTGCATCGTGTATTACATATAAATCGTTATTGGTATATTTTCAATCGTAATATAAATACGTACCTACCTGACAGTCATTCATTTACTTTTTTCACGTAAAAGTAGTATAATTAACCGAATACGTATGCCTCGGATTTGCATATCTCGGATTTGTCTATCTCGGACCGGGCGATCTCAAATAGTGAGTGTCGTACATTCTTATCGCTAGAAAATCAATATGCTTATAATTCACCGAAATAGATTATGCGACACGTCAAAAATAGATCATATATATCTACACATCTCTCCCATTCTCATAGTATACATCACTCGCAAAATATGACGATTATAACACTCTTGAAGAGATGGTTCAAGAATCCAATTACACAAAATTTGAATCATATATTCTAGAGTATATAGTTATTAATCAAATAGGTCTAAATATCCTAAATACGATATAATCGATAAATATGTCTGGTTTTGATATCGCTACTATTATTGATAAAAAAGATAAAACACTTCCTAAACCATATATTAATCATCCTGGTTTTGATATGAAGTATACTGTGTCATATATATCACATTATGGTGGAACTTATGCTAATAAACTCAATCAAATTTTCAATAATAAGAGATTATTTGACACTTTATCTACTATAAAACAGAACAAAACACCTGTTCAATGGGCAATACGAGTAAGAATTCCATTACAAGATTTGTTAAATTCAGGAAAATTTAGTGTATATCATTGATATTGTTTATTTATGTCATTTGATAAAGGTAAATTTGTCAATTTCAATTATTACAGATCAAAGATTCATAAAAGTCATATGGCTATTTGTTTTGGTTACTGGAAACTCATAAAAATCAATAATGTGAATTCTAAAAAATTATTCTATTTTACTAGACAGAGGTATGTTGATTATCTCAAACCTAAAGATCTGATACAGAAATATTGGAATCACGAATGTAATAAACCAAAGACTGATTTTGGAAAAGCAAAAATTATACAAATAGCTTATCGAAATTATAAGAATAGATCTGAGTCATTAGCAATCCAAGCTTGGAATGCAATGAGAAATGATGGTACTTCTGATGATAAAAAATTTCTAGATTTAACTTGACATCAAGTAAAAAATCCTCAAACTCGAGAATAATTTAATCAATAGCATACTAAATAGATTGAATTATATAAAAACAATCTCATAATGTACAGTTACATTATTAATAGATAATATAAAGAATATTATATTCCAGATAATTAGATAGATTCTAAAAAGAGTCAATTGCAAGTTAGATTTCAAAAGCAACTTTTAGAAATAGAAGCATAGTACTTTAGACTTTATTTTGTTATTCCTGAAGCTGGTAACATTTTTTACTTTAGTTTTTATATACAGTTATTTTATCTGACACAAAAAACTCTCTTGATACAAATAGACTTTATTTATTTTTTTAACATCTACTTTAACCTCAATCAGGCTGGATACTGATAGCTATTTCATTAGAAAATAGTAGCGAATAAGAGTTAAAATCATCCACTCCAATTCCAATCATGACTGGATATAGATAGCTTCTCAATTATATAAGAAGTGGTAAGTAGGATGTACTTATATTGTTGTATTAATAAATAACCAAAAAAATAATTATTTGATTATTATGTCTTATTTTATCCAATTTCAAAGCATTATATCTTCTGAAATCTCATTCTAATTAGGCAGAATGTTTATTATCTTTTAATCCCTTGATCTCCTTTTCTAGATCAAGAGGGATATCCCATCAAAGTGAGAAAGACTCAGATTTGGGTTTATTCAGATCTATAACTATAAACTCTTTTTGCCTTAAATAATTGTTAATAATTTTTGAAGCTTTTCTCAGATCTACATCAGTGTAAGGACTTATAATATCTGCAAGTTTTCAAATAGAGCTCCCACCATTAAAGAGAATAATATGAGTAGCATTCTCATGAATATCTATTGGGATTTTGTGAAATTTCTGAGCAACATAAATTAAGAAAATATTTTCATGATGATCTCAAGTGAAAAATGGAATAATTTTTTTCTGTATAGCTGGAGGATCAGAGTAAAGATCTTCAAATATCGCTAATGTACTTCTTTTAACATTAAACTTTTTGGGATCTGGGATTTTATCAGGAGATAATGTAGAAAATATGATATCTTCATAATAGGGCTTTGATTTGTCTTGGGCAAGATCTTTATAAAAATCTTGAACTATTTTATATTTTGGCTTATTTAAATGATATCCAAAAAGAAATACATCATTGCATTTAATATTGCATTTCTCTATCTTAGAATACTTTTTCTTCTTAAATATGTAATAAAATTTGGATATTGTTAGCAAGTTTAAATTCATATTAGTCTTATCTGAATTGCTAGTCCCTGCCATCACAATATGAAAAGGCCATGCTAGTGCATCTTTATCTCCCTGATATTTTTTCAAAGGTTTTACCTCATTCACGGCAAATACACAATATAACATCTTTTTGTTATAAATATATATTATATTTTTTTTATTCTAATGAATAATCTGATTTTGACACACTATTTATATCTATATTTTGTAGATAACCTTTCTCTTGCAATTTGCATTTTATATATGAAAATAAATCAGTACCATACAGTATTTCAATAAGATCTATATCTTACTCTTTGCATATTTCCTACTTTTTTTGGTCACATTTTCTTTGATTATCTAGATCATCTTGATTTTTATGATATAAACTATTGTGATAATAGTATTAAATTCCCTGGAATTCATATGCCAATTTTAATTCTTCATTATATCCATCTAATTACATCCCATTCAAAAATAACAATTTACAAGATGGAAATTTCTTATCTAACAGATCTTTGAAAATATATCTATAGTGATGCTCATTAGTATGATGGAAGCAAAGTGGATACTATTCAAATTTTGTAGCTATTAATGAATATGGATATTCCCACTGATGCTTTCCATTTTCACAAGACCAGAGATATACATCAAAATCATTTATTTGGCCAGTTTTACTAAGACATTTTCTATTATGCTTCTTTGCATACTCTTTAGCCTTAACCACTTTATTAATAATATGAATAAAATTAACAGATCTGAAATAAGTATTTTCTTTCAATATACTCTGGGGTGAATACTGAAGTATGTTAATATTTACATGCATGAGTTCCTCAAGTACAAACCCACGTGTAAGTATAAATTTTCTATCTAAATAATATAATACTAGCTCATTCTTCATTATTACAATTTTTCAGATTTTATGTAAAGAAGAACTCCAAATTTTATCAGTTACACACCTTTGATTTTTCATACCTTCTTCCCATTCTGCATTAGTGAGTAAGTAATAAACGGTATCCTCCTTTTTTAATTTTTCTTCGTCTTTACCAACTGAATATTTATATTTTGTAGATGGTCTAGATTCTACCCTATCCAATCTAATTGCTTTTATAGGTGCTAATCTCCATTTCTTTGAGTCTGATGCTCATATAAGTCATGTTGGATAATTATTTAGATATTCAAGAACTTTTGGTAAATGCTTAACTCATGTCCTTATTAATTTAGGATTTCTAGATATAGTTTTAATAGTGGATTAAACTTTGTACAGCATCTCTGCTAATATCTTATTAAATTGTTCTACAAGAGCTAATCCATGATGACTATAAGCACCAATTACTCAAATTATGATATTATATACTTCTATTAATCAAGTAGTTTCATCCATGAATTCTTTATCATCATCATATTATAGAAGTGTCAGATATGTAAGAGGATTATTTAGATTATCATAAATTTTCTTAAATACTTTAGCAACTTCAAAACTATTCTTCAATATTAGAGGAATGGCACATTTAAAATGTGATGTGATATCTATAACAGTAAATACCTATTTGTATGTCTTTCTATTAACTATATCATTTGTAAGATGTAGCAAATCACATATATGCACATAATTCAGATAATTGATTTTATCATAACTAATTCATGAAGTATTTTTTGATGGTGGGACATACTTTTGTTATTCATTCTGGTTATGTAACCATTCACGAATTTTTTTATATGGAAAGTTATATTCTTTATTTTCAATAGTATTATACAGTTTTTGAGGGTTGGAATGGTAATCAGTAGGTTGGTAAAAAAGCAATTTACAAATTAAGTTTAACTTCTCATCTGGATCAATTCTAATAATAGGCTTGCTCAATTTACTTATTTTTGATATTACTTATTATAATAAAGTCAAGAGATAAGATAATATAATATACCATAAAAAATAGAGACAGAGTCTCATTACTTCGTAATAATCATAACATTTCACTTGTAAAGCAAGAATATTT